GGAGCTGGTTTGCTAAGATGGTGGTTGGAGGTAGTCACAGGAAATCCTGGACGTTACCACTGAGCTATCCGGGCCGCGACTGATGTCCTGTAGGACTGAGATGTATTACAATTGATTGATCACTGGGCGGTGATCAATCTCGAATAAGTTTCTATAATATTCTCCTATCCATACTGTCAAATACTTTCTCATAATGAAGGAAGTTGGTGCATAGTGACGAGTTCCATTCAATTGACTGTTCGACAATGCTCCGTAGTGTCGCTATTTGGTCTGTGCACAACCGATTCTTACGGAATCCGACCTGTTGATCTGGAATTCGGTCGTCTACTGCATCTTCAATCCGGCTCAGCAACACTTTGTTGAAAACCTATCCTGGTACCGATAGTAGTGTGTGGTGCCTCTGTAGTTCTCACACTTGCTCAGATCTTTTTTCTCTAGTATTTTGATGAGGTGTCCTTCTTTCCAGTCTATCGGCACTTGTTCTTCCTCCCAAACCTTCCTGAATAGAACGTGGAGCGTGTTTGCAGTTGGTTCTATGTGTGATTTTAGTGCTTCATCTAGTATATTGTCAGCTCCCAGTGCTTTCCCAATGTTCATTTGTTTGATGGCTATCCTGATTTCTTCCGTCGTTGGTGTAGTGACAGTTATAGGAAGGTTTGTATGTGTTGCTTCGATGTGTGATGGATTCTATGGAGCTGGTCAATTTAAGAGTTTCTCGAAGTGTTCTACCAATCTGTTTCTCTGTTCTTGAATCTCAGTTATTTGCTAGCCGTCTGTGTAAGCTCCTCTCTTGGTTCTCACTTTTTTTTTTATTGAAATTCTGCATTTTTTTAGTAAAGCAAATCTGATCTATCTGGTTCTGTGTAGTGTGATCTGGTGAGGCCCATGTAGCTTTGCGTATATACTTATTGGTGAATATTGTGCCACCTATCACCAGTTTGTTGAATGCCCACACATTTGAAAATCTGTCACCATTCTCGTTCCTTTCTTCCAGTCCAGGTATTGATTTATTTAAACACGTAAACACTGGTAAAAGGAGACACTAAGTACGTATGCACCACAGAAATTATCCGATTTCCATGAGGTCTGGAATACTGTACGAGCGCCCAAACTGAAGCAGATGGCTTTCCTAGAGGGCCACATCATTAGCCTTTGATGTAGAGGTTTAATCCACAGGGTAGTAGAGCGACGTGATGAGATGCAGTTCTATGGTAGGCAGTGACCAGCGGTAGGTTCATATGTTATTTTCTTCGCTCAGGATCCTGAAGATCATGCGCACGATTGGTATGGAATCAGGGTTTTCCAACTCTCTATGTGGATCCCTCATATCCACCAATCCGGTTAAAGTGCCCGACATTCGAGCTCCGCCCTCCCATTCTCATTATCAGCAAGCCTGGTGTAAGAAGGCAGTGAGTAGAAGGGAGGGTTGACTCTCCCGACCCTCGATTGGACCAGGGAATTTGGAGCCCTAGTCCATGTTGTCGCATGATATCTTCATATCCGGTGTTGTCCATTCCGACTTTGGCGTTTAGATCTCCCATCAGGATAGTCAGATCGTTTCCTGAGCACTTCGCTATGATCGATTGCAGCCTCTCGTAGAACTGATCTTTATTATCGTCATTGCTATCATTGGTGGGTGTATAACACTGAATAAGATTCATTGTGATTCCATCCTTTCTTGTTTTGAAAGATGCTTTATCGAAGCATGTGCCGACGATGTTGTTGAGAAGGACAATTAATGCTATACGATGCAGCTCAGAGATCGAAACACGCTCAAATGAATAACAGTTTTTAATTATAGATTTTCTTTAATAACTTTGTTAATCTTGATAGAAGGTACTCTGAAATGACTTTTTTCTTGGTAGTAGCAAGACTTCGGACATTTAGTGAAAGAATCTCGAAATTCTAGTGAGAATGTGACTGGTGAGGTACGACTACTGTGAAAGATTGGTATAATTATGTGATTGAATGATATTCACATGATGTCACGAATTGACATAAATCGGTAATGAAGAAGAATGTATGAGAACCCGATAGTGGTCGGAAGGTAGCATGTTTGTTGTGAGACGTGGAAGTGCCAGGCTCGATTGGCGGATCGGTTGCAAGTGTCGACTACTGACTGACGAGGCACATACTGTGAAAGTATCTGTCAGACGCTGTTTAATCTTCAACGGTTGTTGTTTATCTAAAATCAGTTTGTGATGTTTTGTCTATTTTCTAATTTGAACAATCTCCAAAAGCATCCATACTAATAGTGATTTCTACCTTATTTTTTCTTTATTATGGTAGATGGTTCACCTGTTCACGAATCAAAAACTGGTGGATTTCATGTCTATCCAAATGCTGTTCGTTCATTTTATAGATTTTATAAGATCTATAAATCTTGGCTGCGTGAAAGTCCTGTGGCGAAACCTTGTTAATGTATTTATGCATATATATGTATATATTTAGATATATGGGGAAGCAATGTAACTATTTGCTGAAATTGTTGTGCATAATAATATGTATTTGTAGATACAATTGTTTTGAAAGTAAACTGTACTTGTTTTGATATGTTTTTATCTACATGTTTATGTGATTGTTGCTGACTATTTTGAGAATGTTTGTTGACATTATTTTTATGATATTGGGAATTTCTTCTTTCAAGTGTGTTGATGCGAGGTATGACAACATGGATCAATGAAGATTTATGAGTTATCCTTTTTGGTTGTTTATGACCTACTGACAGAGCAGTTGAACTGTGTGTTTATTGTGCATTTACGATCTTGTGTTTTAAAAAGGAAGAGCATTTAGAGCGAATGATTAGTTTACGGTGAATTTCTCGTTTGATCCTACAGTAATAGATCCATGGTTTTATTGTTTTACGATACCTAGTTTCAGGTGTATGCATACAAGTGTTGACTTAACTGAGTCGGTGTTGTAGATTTGGAATATGAATTTATAATTGTATGGAGTGATTAGAATGTTACTGAGACCAATTATTCGGCCAAGCATGTGTATAAAAGTAATTCGGTTGTGAGGTACAGGTTTGCTGAATTTTAAGTTTTATGTGAATGTTGGAATGAGAGTGGTCGGTCGTCTGAACAGAAATAGGTGTCAAGCTTGCAACAGGTTGGTTGAAATCTTAGTGTTAACCACTACTAAACCACGGGCGTATTAATTAGGCCAGTTAATCTTGTCATTTGAAAAATGATTTTCTGTGATATGGCCTAATATTAATTACTATGGCTTAAATGAGTCATGTATTAGCTTGCTACTAACCCTTGACCGCTAATCTATCTGAATACACTCTCTGTCCTGTCTCTTTTGTTTCTACATGACTTGAGTATTTAGTCATTCTTATGGGTTTTGATCAACTTTTTCCACCCAAAGTGTATATTACAAGCAGAGATCTATGGTGGCTAGCAGTGGAATCCAGGACGCGCATTTCGTTCTGTTCGGGACTCGTCAGCTGGATGTACGTGCATCCCAGTGTTGATGTTCACTACGGGATTGAAAGCTAGTGCCGTTTCAAACTCCTTCGCTTTATCCACGTAGCTAGTTAGTCCAGACTGCCACTGACTTGTGCAATGTGGTAAATTTTAATTAATTTTGTATCAGATGTTTGAATCTTGAACTCAATCGTACAAGCTAGTGACTATCTGGACTCACCAACTAAGTGTATAATGCAGTGGTGTTTGAAGCGAACGACACTGGATTCCAGTTCTGTAGTGAACATCAGGTTTAGGATCTATTTACTGTTACCTGATGAGTTCCTTAAGATAACAAAATGCGCATCTTGTTTTGTACTGCTAGAGACCTTGCATCTTTGCTTTTAGTGTTCGTGATTTAACAGTCAAATCGACCACTAACTTATGAATGTTGATACCTTCAACAAAAATTAATAGATGAAAAGAAGTATTTACAAATCAATTCTAGAATTTGCCATAAATTATGATTTAGTCATGGTTATCGATAATAGAAAGGTATTTTATCCAATAAAATATCTCCCATTCTCACGGACCAGCATTTTATTTAATTAATTTGTGATTTCATATATATGTGACTTTTGTTATAGTTACTATTATGATCCGTCCTTAACCATTCTACGGATACTACCTATTCCAAGGCCACATGAGCTTGAAGGGTTGGGTCAGCAGCACCATCTCGCAAAAACAATCTTACTAGACAAGCGCTTACCAGGAAAAACAATTTATAGCATTAAAAACCTGCTCTAGGATTTGAAGTATTTTCATTTAGAAGAGTTATGAAGGCAATTGGTGAAAGGTGAGATTTTCGAAATTCACGGGGCTTATGTCCCGGAAATGAGGGGATACAACTTAGCTGTTCTCGGAATCAGCGAAACCCATTGGAGTTAAACTGGACATAAAAGGTTAGATTCGTGAGAGTCACGAAGGAGAAAATGCTTCACACATTCGGTTGCTCTGATGCTGTCCATAGGATCACGTGAAGCACTTATAAAAAGGGAATCTGATGCATCCAGGATTATCAAAGCATCTTCCAAAACAAGAAAGGATGGAATCACAATAAATCTTATCCAGTGTTATACACCCACCAATGATAGCAATGACGATAATAAAGATCAGTTCTACGAGAGGCTGCAATCGATCATAGCGAAGTGCTCAGGAAACGATCTGACTATCCTGATGGGAGATCTAAACGCCAAAGTCGGAATGGACAACACCGGATATGAAGATATCATGCGACAACATGGACTAGGGCTCCAAATTCCCTGGTCCAATCGAGGGTCGGGAGAGTCAACCCTCCCTTCTACTCACTGCCTTCTTACACCAGGCTTGCTGATAATGAGAATGGGAGGGCGGAGCTCGAATGTCGGGCACTTTAACCGGATTAGTGGATTTGGAAGATCCATCTATGAAGACCTTCACATTTCAGAGGAAGCTAAATATATTTTGTTATTTACTTTTCTTGATGTATGTTTGTTGGAATTCTTAGTCATTTCATAATTTTGATTCATTGCATTTTTTAGGTATTGATTTATGGCGTCTGAGTTAGAAGCATATGTTGGTCGTATCCTTTTTCTTGTCGGTTAAAAATTCGGTGTTTATTGGTTCGAAATCAACCACAGTATTAGTGGGAGGAGGAGGACGTAGTGATAGTGGTTTCTTTCTACATCATTTAGCTATATATTTTTATTTATTTTCTTGAATCATATTATTTCATCCTTTCCATCCATTTGATCTTATTTGCCTTCTCTTTGCGAATATAATTTCACTAAATTGATGTGGAATATTATGCACATATTAGACAAGTACAATTCTACGTTGGTTTGCCTACTTTGTTTTTTTCCAACTATTTGATAACTTCAAATCCGTTAGCTTTTCATTTAGGGACCTTACTACATCTATTTAATTAGGTAAATGAAAGAATGCAACCGGATCCGTTACACAAGCCAGTGGCTATCTGCATTCAGTAGCTAAGTGACGTTCAAAGTGAACGGTACTGGATTTGAAGATTAGAGTAAGCATCAACTCTAGGATGCAGATATATCCAGCTGATACGTCCCACATAAGAAATGCGCGTCCTAAATTTTGCTGCTAACCACCATTCAACTCAGTTTTAACATAGCTGTTGATTCTTAACAGATTAGATAATTCAAAATTCCAGCTGAAAACGACTGTATGGCCAATAAAAGTTACCTTCTATACACTAAATCTTGTGATTTATGCATATTAGTTTTTTCTTTCATTCAAGTTATTTTCTAATTTCGCTTACTTTCGTTACAATAACTTTGAACGTATTCAGCAAATATTGCATGTATACTCTATGTTCGTAGAATGTACGTGCAATCAATTATAGTGGATCAGTAAACAGAATATTATTATTGCATATCTATCATCTAGGAAATTCTACTTTCTTTAACTATTTTCTTTATATGTACCAGGAATGGTAAATGTTATAACATCAGATGGAAGAACTATCGTGGTAAGTGGAGTATTTTAAATTGCATGTATTTATATGTTCAATTTAAATGGTTAAGATCATGAGTCAGTTGAAGCTAGACCACCATAGAAAACCTGGAAGTACCGGACGGCCGTTTCGTCCTCAGAAGTGCGCATCCACGACCTCACCCCATTGGATGCCGGATCAGTGGCCCAGTGGTTAAGTGCTCGCGCGCGAAACCAGTAGGCCCTGGGTTCGAGTTTAGCAGGGGGGCGAGGTCATGGATGTGCACTGCTGAGGAGTCCCACAATAGAACGAAACGGCCGCCCAGTGCTTACAGATATTCAGTTTAGTTGAGTCACGTTTGCCATAGAAAAAACAGTCAAAAGAAGTGCTAATTTCGAATAAAACAAACAAAAATTTACCAGATCAACTATAAGTGAACAAGTAATAACATAGTTATACTGAGCTAGAATACTAGTAATTAATGGAAACAATTTAAGTAAATTGTTCAAGAAAAAAAATAATAATCAAATGTGAAAGTGTTAGCATACACAAGAGAAAATGTACGATCAAAAGCAAAGCGGTAATAAATGGATGAGGAAGGAAATATTGTTTTACAGGTAGAATAATCAAGATTAGATTATGAGTGAATGAAATAATAATTCATTGCGATAGAAAGACAACAAATTGCAACATACTTGTCATTTAAATAATTACAAAAACAATTTCAACTATTAAGAATTTGTTAGATTTACAAAGATAATATAACGAAGGTTGTATAAATTGAAAGACTAGCATAGATTCTCTGAATATTTATACAAGAATATATTTATAAATACTAGATGATTCTACAACAAATAATTAGTTTATGCTAAAATAACATACAAGTTATCGAGCTCAACCATAACAACAGTTAATTAGTAGCTTAGACAAGCACAAAAGCCTGTCTAATATACCAGGGTAGACTGAGTATGAATCAATAAACTAGAGGACAGTTAATCTACTAATATTTAGTTTTATCAATGAAATACAAAGATCAGAGAAATTAAAATTACTCATATAAAGCATGTTTGTAGTGTGTGAGCTTTATACTCTCCCTCGAATTTAGAGTTAATGTCATTTTCCCCTTCTTTTGCTTTGATAACAACTAACCGAATCTTCTGTGATACTTAATCGTTAAACCTATCCCCTTTTAATATCGACTGATTCATCTCTTTTCGGAATCAGTAATTTGTACACTTTCTTCATCAAATTCTCCCGTCAGTCAACATCTAGTATTTATATATATTCTTGTATAAATATTCCGACAAGCTATGATGATCTTTTCGTTTATATCAGCGTTTTTTTTAGCGAGTTAGTTTTCTACGGGATGGGGTCGCTAACCCCATGCCCAACCCTCCTCCTTTACCCGGGCTTGGGACCGGCAGCAACCCTATAAGAGCTACAGGCGGAGTTTTTCGTTTATATAACCTCGTCTACATTTTCCTGGTGAATCTAATAAAGCTTTTTATTATTCATTAACGATATACGGGTTATAACATAATACATGAATTTCTATATGAATGATGATGTATTATTTTGTTTACCGTCCTTGTCATTCTCGCTAATCTTAGTAAAATTATTCATTTACTAGGGTACATTAAAAGGATTTGATAATGTCGTCAATCTTGTTATCAAAGATAGCCATGAAAGAGTTTTCAGTCCAACTGAAGGTGTTGAGCAAGTTCCATTGGGTTTATTTATTATTCGAGGACAGAATGTGTAAGTTCAATGTGATATAAAGACATAGTTAGTTACAAAATTACTATTTCTGAGATTGAAACTTGATATAATGCAAAATTTATTCGTATTATGCTATTTTTCAGGGCTGTAGTCGGAGAACTTGATGAAGATCTAGACAGGCGAATTGATTTTTCACAACTGCGTGCTGAACCTCTTAATCCTGTTGTACATTAATTGTCTATATATAAAAAATAGATTGTTTTTATTTGTAGTATATGGTTATTATTTTCTAAAATAGTTCAATTCTTTTCATATCGTTTATTGTTAAGCGATTGTTAATTGCGACATAGTATAGTGTATAACTACTCATTTATTAAGTACGAACTATATATACTAAATTTCGAGTCTCAATACAACAATAATCTTAGGAATGTAACATAAACTAATAGCTTCTAGTTGCCTATTAGTTACGGGATGCAAAACACTACATTTGGATCGTATGAATTAATCGACACTCACCAAGGTTTAGTATCTTGAATCCTGCTACTATTTTTACTACCCTGGTTTCTTTTAAAGAATGCACAAAAATAAGTAGTCATTTAGATAAATGAGCATTAGTGATACGAAAAAATGTATATACACTTATGACACAAGTCTATCGGAATATGCATTACTAGACACGTTAAAATAGATAAAATTTTCTGGCATGTACTTTTGATTCAAAATCCTAGAAAATGAACCAATTCTTTGACACTAGAAGTTATAGTCCAATTTTACCAACAGAACTTGTTGTTGAAGTAGTTAGTGGTGATTGAAATCCGAATGCTGGTTTGACTAAACCTGTTGTAACAGTTGAATTCAAAGCAGGAGCTCCACCAGTCAATGAACCTATTTGTGAAAGTACGGAAGATGCTGAAAAATGGAGAACAAGAAGTTTATCAGACACAGAACAATTACAAAGATCATTCTCTAGACAGAAAGAATTGAGTTAACAGTTGTTAAGACTTCAGAGTAAATTTTATGATAAGCATTTTGTTCTAGATAGAAATCATGTTTTGAGTAAACCTGGATACGATTAGATATTGGTGTATTTAAGAATATCTGACTGTAAGTCGATGTCAAACGATTATGTTGCGATAGGTGCCATTACTAAGGTTTGACTTGATAATTTCAAATAAATTGAACATTGGATAGATTGTTATTAATAAAAATTATATATATGTAATATCCCAATGAGTAGAAAACTCGAATTTTGTGACTTGGTGTGAGCCACTTCTTCAGAGAATAAAGAAATAAACTAAATTAACCCAAGTTTAAATAGTTCAAAGGAACAAAGTAGGAATGTTTGGTGCGATCAATCAAAAACAGGTCTGACCAGGTCAGTCTAATTCCAGTCAAGGTGATTTATATGAAGTGTTTTTGGACTTTTGTGCGTGTGTACGTATGTTAAAGGATGAAAAAATGAGATAATTGTGGTGCGAATGAGTGGAATTGAATTTGTGCGTATAATAATGGTGTGAGATGTGGATAGAATTAGATAAGGTAGCTCGGATAAATGGTCCAAGTCGAATGGATAGTGAGGCCTTGTTTTCTATTGAGGGCAGTAGTATTAAACAATATATGGAGTTTCGGCTACTCGTCTTTCTTTGTAGCTGGAAAAGCCTTTTTGTATTATTTTGGTGTCTTTGATATCGACTTGATAGTTATTAAAAATAGCACGAATTGCTGTTGCCGATTTAATTGGAAGTCTTTTTAGTTGTACTGGATTATTGGGCGGTTTCTTTAAGTTCCTTAGATCTTCTTTGGCTCGAGTCGAGATTCCACAAGATAGATGACTCTTCAACATAGAAGGCACCACAATCGACATCTTAATTTATAGACACAATTGTGTTGACATAAAGGGAAGTTTTTGCTTTGTGCGAATCCAGGTTATCTAGTTGCGGCAGTTGCTGTGACTGACACAGATGTTGGGTAACACAATTCATGATTCGTCATAATGATGCAGAAGCATCCACTTCACCTTCCCGAGGTCCAAAATTATTTTGTCTTCTAGGAATCTATTCCATGTCGAATCATATCGTTGATGCCTACTTTTTTGTCACTGATATTACTAATACTTATGCATCTGTCCGATAATTCCATGTCACTGTTCGTTGCCGAGTAGTCTAAAACCTTAGGGGTGAACCGTACCTACCCTCAAATTATCCGTTTTGAGAATGAGTGATTCTTTGCTAATCCTGAACCACTTGACCCAGCTTTGTTATTGATATTTTGTCCATAGTTAGATCTAACTAGTTTCGTCTATCATAAGAATCCTGTTGACAAACACTTATCGTTATATGGTAGTTTCAGTGTTCGGTCAACCTTAGACTATATACAGTTAGGTAAATTAGATCTTTTAAAATCTACACTGGTCATTATTACGAGTGTCGATTATTAGGAAATATTAATTACTGTACGTGAACATACCAGGCTGGAAAGATGAAACTATACCAAACTGCTGATTCGACAATACACTGCTTGAGGTTGTAGTAGAAGGTGCCGATGGAATAATTGAAGTTTTCTCAACACTACCGATTGAATTGGATGTAGTAGGTGTTTCTGATGTTGGGAATGGAGAAGGACCATATGGAGTGGAGAATGATGAACCGATTTTTCCCTTACTTAATCCTGTTCCAAATAAATTATCAACTTCTATTTGACTCTTCAAATGAAAGTCATCATGATCGCCGAATGGATTGCGAGCTGAACCATAACACATACGATACTTTTTTAAGTAGTTTGATTTTATTGCCTACACAGAAATGAGAAAAACAAACATTAAAACGTGGTAAAACTAACAACCATAATTTTCGCAAATATATGTATATACTTGTATATTTGGCATTGAACTATTTGCGTAAAGCGTAGCGACATTACTTTGCTACCTAAACCAAGCTAAATGAGGCGGATTTAAAACCTAAGGCGAACAGGCTGAAGGCTAAACATATCGATTAATAAACCAGTGCTTTATATCACTTGGCTTCAACCACAAATAACTATAATTTTGTAGATTTTAGTTAAGATTTCTACACTTATCAATAAACCCCAGACTAGCAAATAACTTAGCAGTCACCTTCAGAGATAAAGAACAAATCTGTAAATAGTTATGTGAATAACACAATGCACTGCTCTAACAAGAATAAACACTGCAAACATACCTTTATGTTTTCATGTGTAGTGTACAACTGAGCAGCAAGATTGATAAAATCATGATCGATTAGATGCAGAATATTAAGAAGGTCTGTAATATAAAAATGTACTTATATCAAGAAAATAGTTACCTCGTGGAGTCATAGGAGTCAATGGCTGGGAATAAACATTCTCTTCAAATACCTCTAACTCATGTTTATACAATCGGATTCTTGTATCAAATTCAGAGATCTTTTTCATGAAATAACTAGATCTAGAATAATTTGTTTATAACTGTATACCTTGTCAGTTCATTATTATCATTTTTAATACTCAGTCCATGTTCAGATGTTTTATGGGCTATGCCAGCATTTTTCTCTTCCTTGTATAAAAACGTTATTCGAAAAAATTGCGAACACTGTCTCACCTTTAATACATCTGCTTTTAAGCGTGAAATTGCTGTAGATGTATGTCGGAGGCTGGATATTGAAGAAGACACTTGTTGACTAACAGTTTTGAGATCATCACGTAAGGTGATTAGTTCACAATAAGACAAGCCAGCCAACTCTTCACGATATTTTTTTTGTTGAGTGAGGAATTTTCTAAAGATGATCTTGGAGAAAGATTAAACCTACTTAAATTCATCTAACGATGTAGAAATTTCATTACATACAACTAAATCTTTTGCTTGTAAATGATTCCTAAGAATTATCTAGTTTAGCAAAAAATTACTTTATAGTGGCATCAGTTAAACCACGATTCATTATGATACTGTCAAAAGATAAACGAAACCTGTAGATGTAAGATAAGATTTAGCTAATTAAAGCCAATGTTTTTAATGAGGTTATGGTAAAAAGAATACTGATTTCAAGTGTTTACACACAAATGCTACAATACACTAGTTATAATTTTAAGTAACAGTAAAAAGCAATACACATAAGCGATTATGTAACTTTTTTTAAACAAAGTTATTTCACTTAACGATTGTCACTTAAACAATCGTAATCGTTGTGTTTACATGTTTAGCAAGGATTTTTAGGAAATTTAACATATGCGAAAAATATATTTGGATACCGTGTGCCAATTCAACACGTCCAACTCTTGGATAAGGTACGCCATCGTGAGGAGAGCGATATACTGAAAGCAGGCAACACTAAACTTACCATAATATCTAAGTCATAGAATCTATAATGGTAACGACCATTGATGACTGCGTGAATGAGCAGTCAACTAATCCATCAGTAATGAAAATCATGAAGTCAGTCAGTCGTTTTCAACATAAGGTCTGGATATTGACAAATGCCACATCTTGGTTTGAGATCCTTTAACATCTCATCACAATCGCATGGTATCTAGCATTGCCAATTGAGGTAGACAGTGGCTGAGGAAATGTAACGCGTCCCAGCTACGTTAGCTTAACTCACCGACTTTCTATACTTACCTAGGATATTAGGTTTGACTTCAACACCACTTAATACGAAAAGTCACTATACATGAAGAAATGTAAGGTCGAATATTAGTAACCTGTGAATATCCTAAGTATCAGACTATATTTCACACAGATATCCTGCCTACGCAAAATATGATGCAGGTTTTGTTGGTCATAAGGTCTGTGAATACTTTTACAAGAGATCGAAATGATCAGCCATATTACTTGCTATAGACAGAGTAAATATTAACACCGGACAGTACTGTAGCAAAAATCTGCACTATCTATAAGCTCTATTGTTTACCGAGAACAAATTTCCTACAAGACATTATGTACTTTTCTGTCCGACGTCTGAAATAATCCGCCAACAAAGAAATAATTACTTCGTTAGGAGGAAAGGCATCCGAAATGAATGGTAAGCTAATACAGTTCATAAAATGAAATTGTTTTCAAAGTGTAGACAATATTACAAATCACTAGAGGAAACGAATATCACTGAGGAAGTTGTTTCATTTGTGAGAAAGTTTGGAGGTGTCAATATTTCAATTAAACATTCAGCTTGATGGGGAAGTTTATCAGGTATCCTGAAATGAGAATGATTTTTTCTCAGAACAAATGAAATGAACGCTTTTAA